GCTGGTGTCCACGATGTTCTCCCGCCCGCTCTTGCCCTTGCCCTTGCCGCTCTCGTCGAAGCGCTCCTTGTGCGAGCCCGTGTACTTGGAGGTGTCTGTCAGCCTCTCCACGGCCCCCACCGTCTTGGCTTTCTGCAGAGGGGAGGTGGGACGTGGGAGTCAAGAACGTGCGCCTGGGCCCTTTATCCCTCGCCCCAGGCAAGCTCCTGACGCCCACTGCAGATCCTGCCAGACCTGTTCCACCTCCTGCCCCTCCAGGCCACGGGGACCCCTGGAAAGCATTTGCTCCTCGGGCAGAGCTCCCTCCCAACCATCCCTCCCATGCCCGGGGGCCCTTCGCTCACCGTGACGCCCACATTAATGGGCTCCTTCCCTGCCACCAGCTGGCAGATGGCTTCATATGCCTCCTCTTTGCTCTTATCCTTAAACCTCTTGGGGGCCAGCTCCTCCAGCGCCTTCTTGAACTCCTCGTAGTTGATGACACGGGCTGTCTTCCCCCTGCAAGCACAAAAACTCGGCTGCGGTCAGCAACATCTTCAGGTTGTGCCCCCAAATGGGGCTGCAGGGGTGCGAGGGGCATCAGGGAGAACCTGGCTTTGCCCCTTGCCAGTCTAGAGCCCCTCAACCCCCTCCAAAACGTGACTATGGCTGAGGAAATCCCAGCTGGATGGGTCAAACTGGGCACAGGCGGTGCTGAGCACCAGGAGCTTTTCAGCAACACGCTGTTAAAAAAGTGCCAAAACCACCTCACCCCTGTGTGGAAGTGCCCTGGGACTTGGTGACAGGAGGGGACACGCGTCCATCCCCACTGGTCCCAGCCTGCCTGGGATGCCCAGCACCTTCTCTTCCCTTGGGAGGTATCGATCCTTCTCGGGCCAAATTTGGAAGGACACGCACAGAGCATCTCTCCCGTGAGCATCTCTGGAGCAGCGCAGGAACCTGCTCTCCTACGCACCAAAAACCCAGTGCTCAGCCCCTCCCGGTCCCACCACAGAGGGGGCAGAGGGCACAGGTTCTCCACCCACCCTCACTCCTGCACCCTCTTGCAGGGCGTCAGGTGTCCTCAGGGACCCCAGAAGCAGCTCCACAGGCTCTTCATCTGCCCCTCTGTGATCTCCAAGTCCTTCCCAAGCTCAGACGAGGGCTGGGCTGTGCCGCAGGGAGAGCCCTGAGCACCCTCCTCTGCTCCCTGTGGCACATTTTTGCTAGGCTGGGACCTGGCAGGACCAGCCAGGGCCACCCTGACACATGGGAGTGGGAGCAGAGGCCTCCAAAATTCGGATTCATTTATTACCAGGTCTTGCAAAAGCAGGCACACAAACTCCCCCAGGGCGGGACAGCACCCGCTGCTCCACGTCGACGGCAACAATTGCGACAGCCCGGGCTC